TTAATTAGTGTATCAAGATCGATTTAAATTCTAGTTTCTTCTTTTTTCTTCTTTCGCACGTGTTCAGAATCATGTCAGTCTGATCCAGCTCCAGTTCTTAAAGAGTCAGGGTTTAACTTAGTAGTTTGCAGCTATTATCATAATTCCTGAAACGCCTGATGAAAATTAGCCGAATAATTTTTGGCCGATTCGATTAGGTTTGTGATTTTGGCATGATCGATATATAAAAGATATAGATTTTTTATATTGCAGGTAAATACTTTGTTCTACAGATAATTTTATAATTATAATGTAAACACATTCAACATTATTAATTTTCGTTTGAATATTTGTCCAATATATTTGATATAATTAGTTAGCTGAAAATTTACGGATAAGTCTGTTTTTGTTAACCAATTAATCTTGACGAAATATAAAAAAGGAGCTGTGTATAAATTAGATTTTATAATAAACATATTGCACGAATTTCAGCTAAAGATATTCGTCCGTATGTAGTCTTATATAATTTACATTACTCACCTGACCTTAAATTACGTGTACGTACGTACGTATATCGAATTTATTAAACTTATTCGGCTAATTTTATGTGTTACAGGAATTATGATAATAGCTGTAACATGCGATATAGATGATTTTGAAAGCGAAATGCTAAAAATATTCATGATTCGCTTTTATTAAATTTTATCTGGATTAGTTTTGGACCGGCCCTAAACGTTCGGTCCAAGACTAGAGATGTGCCATTTATATGATACTCAAATTTTTTTCACGTACAGTACGTATAGTACGTATATAGTGCGTATGTAGCGACTTGATTGGCTGGTAAAATGATCGGCAAAAATTTTTCGCGTACAGTACGTACAGTACGTAGTGTACAGTACGTATAGTACGTAGTGTACAGTACGTATAGTACTGTGTTCGGCACATCTCTATCCAAGACCCAGTCCAAACTAGTCCTTTGTGGGCTATTTAGCATCCCTATTCAGAAAATCAGCCTCATATTCGAAATAACGCCCACGGGCGTACTCGAAATAGCGCGCAAGTAGTCAAAATAGCGCGTGGATGCCCGCTATTTCGAGATTTTGCAGTAGACTTTATTCCCAAAACTTCAATCATCCACCAATTGCATAAATGACGCCGCAATTAAACATAATCCACCAAAATTTGCTGCATTTCTACTTTGGACTTGTGGCGCAGGTTTGCATTGGATTTCACAAGACATTCTATTTCTATCCAACAAGTTTAAGCCTAAAATTTGCATAGCAATAGAAAGAAATAATAGCTGATAAAATAAAAAAAATAAAAAACAATAAGTAAAATAAAACTATATACATGTCACGGGAACAACGTGACAACAGGTTAAAGATCCATATTGGCTGATTTGCTGAATTGGACCTAAATTAGGGCCCATAGATTTTAACAATGTGTGATTGTAAATCAGATCCAAAATTCTAGCAATTATGCACCCTGCATCCAGGGACACCTAATTCTGCAATCCGCAGACATTCGGTTTTTTCAGAACTACGTACGTTGTAAAAGGGTAAAAATCCTCTGGTCCTAGATAATTCCGATATGCACTACAACACAACACTAAAACTAACTAAACTACTCTAACCAGAACACCACAACTAATACAACCAAAACCCTAATATTGGTAAGGCAACGATCGAGGCGTGGAAAGACTTGGTCCGAGTAACTAGGGTGAAATGGGTTCTTAGTAATAGTGTCGGATTAGAGCTCTTGACTACGTCACGAATCTCTTTATTCACAGTCACGGGATTTGGTCACGAATTCCAATCGTTATTACAGATTTTATTTATCGGGGGGGATCAGAATCCAACACTTCTACTCTAATTTCGAAGGTTTCAGGACTCAAAGGTTATTTTTATTCTTAATATACTTTTGAACTCACTGAGTTAATTTTACTTTAGTGGAGAGAACCTCCACTTATATAATAATTTTTACATAGACAAGAATAACGCGAATTCTGATTTTTCTAGTTTTTCTAATTTTTCTCGTTATTCTGATTTTTCCCGTTATTCTGATTTTTCCCGCTTTTCTTTGAATTCCCCGAATTCTAGGAATTCTAGGAATTCCGGGAATTCGTACTACCGATTACCCGCAACAGTAACTTCTTTTGGAAAGGGCGATCTTGCCTTTTACAACGTACGTACGTACCGGCTTTACTTATTTGTGTAATACAAACTCCTAAAAAGGAAATAGTCAATCAGTGAGTTCAAATTTTGATCGTTCCGGATCAGCTTGACATGATTCTGAACACGTGCGAAAGAAGAAAAAAGAAGAAACTAGAATTTAAATCGATCTTGATACACTAATTAA